TTCAAGTTCTACCTTAGGCACAAAGCCAGTCATTCTCTGTCAGCCCTAGGAAGGAGGCAATGGCAAACCACTTCTGAAAATCCTTGCCAAGAAAACTGCAGGGACTTGTCCAGGCAGTCACCTGGAGTCAAGAACGACTCAAAGGAACAACTGAAAAAAGACCAGTAAAAGTTTTCAACTTTGCATCATTCTGCCAAATGCTAAGATGCTTTTTGTCATGATAATAGATTGTAAAAATCATCATCATCATCATCATCTGTAACTCATCACTCAGGGGGATTAAGATGCATAGTCCAACTACCAAATCTGAGCCGCCAAACCCCAGAGGACCGCAAGATGGCAGGAAAGGGTTAGAATGTTCTTTGCTGCTATCTAGTGGTGTCTGAAGCTGATAGTCCTAAAGTATAATTCTATAGGTTTTGTTACATTCTGTTCTGTCCATTTCAATGCATCTTTGTGCAGAACAATGGGTGGGAAATGCCTCCATGCACCCCAGCTCTGTTTATAAACATTCCTCAGATAGTTCTGCTTTCTATACGGCTATCTGAGATCAAGTCCACTGAATCCACCAAACAAAGCCAAAGTCGTCTCAATTGCTAATATATTTACAATGAGGGAGAAGGTGGAGGAGAGAGACCACAAAAGCCTGCATTCTTTCCTATTGAATTCAACTTACAAGTAATAACTTCAGGCCGTATGCCTGTTTGTAGATATCAATGTTCAACTGATGCTGTACACAAAGCCTCCCTGTTGCAGGAAGTCGTGATTTTGCCCATAGATGCCTGGCTGTTTGCTGAAATCAAAGCATAGCTTGGGGAAAGGTTGGCTGATAAGATTTACAGAACTTGCAAGTACGTCCCCTAAATCCATCAGTAGACAAGTGAAGATACAAGGATATTGTAGAACAATGGATGCTTCTCTAATAGCCCTTTATACTCCCATTCCATTTCCCTTCCCATTCAAAGGAGGTTACTGGTTTCTAAGCACAAACAGATTCCCAAACTTTAGCTCTGAGCTGCAATTCTACTCTGACATACTAAACAGCAGTGGTAATCACACTCTTGACTCATGATCAACTCTGGATCAACTCTGGCAGAGACACTGATGTGGTTTTCTTGGGTACAGCATGGATTTTTTTTATAAATTTTTTCTTCTCCTTGTTTTTTTCTCCCCCCCCCCCCCCCCCCCATTTTGTCCTCATTACCTTGCATGGCTCACCACTTTTCATTTTGTTAGACAGAATATGGACTTTGTCAATAGGGCCACAGTGGGTCCTGATTTGAAGGCACCACAAATGTTCATTAAAAAAGTCACTTGGGGCAGGAGAACCAATTGGCTGGGACAAATGAGATGCCTGGAGGGGCCTGATATGTCAACCATATCAAATCAGTGTTCCTGTGTGTCTCTGTAATCCCTTTCATGCCCAGCTAGGTGGCAACTTCTAGCTGACTTTATCTTGGCTATGAAACTAAGCTGGGCTAGGCCTGATTACTACTTTGATGGGAACCATCAGGAAATGCCAGGACTGTAGGCTAACCCAGGAAGTTGAAGGAAAAGATCCCAGAAAACAGCAGTAAACTAGTTCATATGGGTTGCCCAAAAAAAGCCCTACGTGATCAGTGGAGTCAAAAAGAATCTTCTGTGACTTGGAAACTTGACTTGACTTAATCTGCTCCATCATATCAAATATGCTACTTTTAATATGCATCTTTCAGCCACATTTGGTAGAACCTTACTTCCTAGTATGGAGATTTTCAAACAAAGCAAATCTTTCTCTTCATTCAGCTTTGCCATATCGGAAACTCTATTTGTATTTACCAGGGTGTCATTTTCTATTAACACTATTATTTAAGTACTATCTTTCGTACCATCATGACTTCCAAAAATTACCTACAACCATTTTATGGATCAGAAAAAGTAAACCAGGGAATATGCATTATTTCCAATTAAGATATTTTAATAAGAAATAGAGCAGATTCCTATTAAAAAGTAGTAGACTCTGGAGAATCTCTAAATATTTGTTTTCTTATACCATATGCATTATTCAAGACTTCTTGGAAATGCCAGGAGCTCTTCTTTGCTTGACAGCTCAAGCAACAACTGAACATGCTCTCATTTATTTATAGCAAAAAATAATAATAATAGTAAGATTTACCATCCACTCTGTTCTACTGTCAAATTCTGATGTTCTGGAAAGAACTGGCCAGCACAGTTTAAAAATTTGAAAGTAAGGGGGAAAAAAATCTTGCCAAGCCAGTTATTTTTAGGGCTGGGCAGTTCTCTGCGAGGATGCTGCTTCAAAAACATTGGAGTAAACTGTTTTATAAAACAACACGAGTCCTTTGCTTGTAAGAGTGAAGC